CTTGGATTCCTTCGCACATGTCCAGAACCAGGGCCATCGACCAAGGGGTCCGCTTGCCCTACTGGACAGGTAACAAGAGCGCAGATTAGTTTGCAAGGCTGGGCGCCGACTGCCATCCCCGCGAGAAGTCAAATAAGAAGTTGCGGAAGATGCGCGAGGCGGCTGCACCTTTGATTTTGAAATGTGTGCTGCGCGTTCTGCGGCTGTGTCAAAAAGGCGGCTGGAAGGACGCCCAGCAAGTGAGTGAAGGAAGACCCGCGCGCGGGCCTCATGTCGTCCTAAGCGAGGATGGAGGCCATGTAATTCACAGGTTTAAGGGACGATGGGTGTGCGGGAGGTGCGGAGATAGTCGTGCTCGTCGTGGACACCTCGCGCGCCTCCCGTGTCTTCGGGATCCCAAAGGGGTCCGAGAAGCGCACCCGTCCCATAAGCTATGGCGCACTGGTCCAATGGTTTGGTGTTTTGAATGCGCCGCCAGATGTGTGTCTAGGGCGTTTTTGATTTCCAAACCGTGTTTGGGGAGACCGCCCCTGGGGTCTGCGAGGCACTTCGAGGGAAGGTACCTCATCCAGGGGCGGGGCCCTTCTGGAGAGAAAGTCGGTAATGGTTTCAAGAGGCCTGTTCATAGTTTCGCTTGAGTCGTCCGTTGAGCGTTCGGCGGGATTATGAGTATTGCTGTTTGGCCTGGTGCATCGTTCTCGGCACACCTCGTCGTCATCCAGAGTCTCCAGAGCCTCCTCCTCGTCCTCCTCCTCCCTCCTCTTCCCCCTCCTCCTCCGCCCCCCTCCCCCTCCACCTCCTCCTCCTCCTCCTCCTCCTCCTCCTCTTCCTCCTCCTCCTCCCCCCTTCCCCCCTTCTCCTCCTTCTTCTCCTCCTGCTCCTCCTTCTCCTCCTCCTCCTCCTCCTCCTCATCATCATCATCATCACCAACAAAAACAACAGCATCATCCACATCATCATCAGCACCATCATCCTCATCATCATCAGCCTCATCCTCATCATCACCAGCATCGTCAGCATCATCATCATCATCATCATCAGCTTCATCATTTTCAGCAGCACCATCATCGTCATCGTCATCATCAACATGGTCACCATCATCATCATCATCATCATCATCAGCAGCATCATCATCATCATCAGCATCATCATCATCATCATCATCCGTTTCCCTCTTCTCCTCCTCCTCCTCCTCCTCCTCCTCCTCTTCCTCCTCCTCCTCCTCCTCCTCCTCCTCCACCTCCTCCTCCTCCCCTCTCCTTCTCCTTTTCCTCCTCCTCCTCCCTCCTTGTCCTCCTCCTCCTCCTTCCTCTTCTCCTCCTCCTCCTTCTCCTGCTCCTGGTCCTCCTCCTCCTTCTCCTCCTCTTGCTCGTCCTCCTCTTCTTCCTCCTCCTCCTCCTCCTCCTCCTCGGGGGTGGGGGGTGGGCGTTCCGATCCCACCGCTGAGCGGCCGCGGCGCGCAGAGGGGTCGGTCGGCCACGCGCAGAGGGGAGTTCTGGCGGGAGGGGGCCGACGACGACGACGACGTCGGCTTGATCTGGGATTGCAGCCATATCAGCATTCCGATGTCCATGTCGATGTGCATTTCGAGTGCATTCAGAGTTTCGCTCCTCTGTGTTTTTAGATTCACATGCTGATGCGCAATTCGATTTGCCCTCCGATTGTAAGTTAATTATTGGCGCTTCGCGTGTCCCACCATCCCATTAAGAAGCGACGCCCATGAGATTTATTTGGATGAGGAGGTTGAGGGAGGGGAGGATGATGAGGAGAGCGAGGAGAAACATGATGAGGAGGAGGACGAGGACCAGAAGGGTGAGGAGGAGGATGGAGGAGGAGGGGGAGGAGGAGGAGGAGGAGGAGGAGGTGGAGTTGAAGGACGAGGAGGAGGAGGAAGTGGAAAGGAGTAGAAGGATAATGCACGTGAGGCCTTCTTGAGACCTTTTGTGATCAGAGCCTCTCGGAGGGCTTACTGGGCTATCCTGGTTTTTTGGGGGGGCCCTCTTGGGGTTCTCTTGGGACTGTCCTGGGGCCATCTTGGGGTCTTTTTTGGGGGGTCCTGTGGCCTTCTTGGGCTCTTTGTTGGGGATCTTTGGGGGTCTTATTGGACGATTTTGGGCCCCGTGGCTCAACAAGAGGGATGGCCTTATTCCCCCCCCTATCCCGCGCCCCCTCGGAAGCCCAAACTTTGCTTATTTGAGCCTCGTAGGGGGCCTTTTGGGCCGTCTCGGGCTCCTCTTGGGGCTCTCTGGGGCTCTTCTTGCTCCTCAGAGGCGCATCGGAAGCGAAGACGAGAAGGCTAACATCCGTGATTATCCGTAGGTTTGGGGACGATTTCGGCCCCTGGGGGGCTCCGGGAGCACTTTGGGCCGTCTTGGGGCCTCTCGGAGCCACGTGGGATTCTATCATGCTCCGTCTCCCGCTATGTTGAGCCATCTTGACGGTCATCTTGGGGCTTTTGGGGCCGACTTGGAGCAATGTTTGGTCCAAAAGGGCCGTACGGCACCTCGCGCCCCCCCCCTCCCTAACAAAAACAGGCGTAGGGGGTAGAGGGAGGGGTCATGCTAGTCCCTCCGAAGGACTGCTACCTCGCTCACTCGCACCGCCCTCCCACCACATCAGTAGCATCCGAGTCTCAGCTTAGGCAGCGGCCGCCAGCGACAACCATCCGGAATGAATGCAGACGCCAGCCGGGCGCACGATGCCAGCGAGGTGCGTCTGGCATGCCATGGCATCCCCATCCTCCCTGCCAGAAGTATTCATGCACCATGATCGCGGGACGCCCGCGCATGGTCGGATGTTCTGCCGCAGCGTTTGCTTGGCAGATATGTGTGTTGGCAGGGAGGATGGGCCGGCACACACGAGGCACTGTGCCGGCAGCCCCGCCGTCCCTGTCACACACAACAGCGTGAATTGATCGCGGGGCGGAGCGTCGGAACGTGATCCACATGTTGCCGCAAGGTGCCCTCTGCAGTGTGTTTGTGACAGGCACGGTGGGGTGGGGCGGCACGGTCACGGGTTGGTGGTTGTTCGAGTGGGGGAGGGGGGTGTTTGCAAATGGGAAGCGGTGATGCCCCCCTGCCGAACGGCTTTTTGGAATACGGGAGGAAAGAGCAATCATACCACCTGCGCCCAGAGGGCTGGTGGGATCTTTATTTCGAGGTTAATTTCGATTTGCAGGTCGATAGCAGTTGCAGTTCGATGTTTATGTCGATGTGCATTATGATGTTCATGGCGATGTGCATCCCGATTGCAAGTGGATGTGCAATTTGTATGTGCAGCTTGATGCTTATTTAATCGCTTCGCTCATTCCGCCGGCCCTGGAGCGCTATTTGGGGCCTCTTGGGGCCGTCTTGGGGGCTTCTTGGGGGCTTTTTGGGAGCGTCTTGGGGCTCCTTGGCGGCGTATTGGGCTCCCCTGGGGCCTCTTGGGGGGCTCTTGGGGGCCCCTTGGGGCGGGAGGGGGGGCAGTCGTTGGCAGCCCTCCCCTCGGAGGCCACGATCCTCGTGAGGGGTGGCGAAAAATAGCCTCCCCCTGGGGATCGCCCGGGGGTCAGCCGGGGATCGGCCGGGGTACTTTTCGTCCGGGGACCCCAGGGGCCGCCCCGCGCGCGCGAGCTAGAAATATTGTCAAGTAGTTACCCGAGATCTTTGCACGCCTCTGGCCCGTTGGGCCGGCAAATTTCGGCTGCAGTTTGATGGTTGTATCGATTGCCAGTCCAGTTTACAATTCGATTGCCATTTTGATGTGTCTTCTATTTCCAGGTTGCTGTGTTTTCCAATGCGAGACAACAGCGAGCCAACCCATGGGACAACCCTACGGGACAACCATGGGACAACCCATCAAACAACCCACGGGAGGACCACGGAACAGTCCACGGGACAGCCCCCAGGACGTTTACAGGACAACCCGTAGACATCTAAAGACGGACAACCTCGGAAAAGCCATGGGACAACCCACGTGTCAACCCACGGGACAACCCGCGGGACAATTCGTGGGACATTCATGGCACAACCCATGGCACAACCACGAGACAGCCACGGGACAACCCACGGGACTAACACAGGGCAATTACGGAGCAACCACGAGACAGCCCCTGGACAGCCTATGGGAGAACTCACAGGACAACCACAAGACAAGCATTGGGTCAACCCACAGGGAAGTTCTGCGCCACACCGCGAGAAACGAGATTGCGAATTATGTTGCCCGGCTTACTTGGTCTAATATCGCCGACATCGCGTAGATTCCCATCGCCTCCGCGAACGGCACGATTCGAAACCGAAACCGATTTCTTGCTTGGGGTCATTGTGTTCTCACCCCCGCATTGCCGCCGGTAGCCTTGGCACAACAACGATGCAGCACGCCTGCCGGAGTGTTGTCAGGTGAAGCGCGAGTGCCACCACCTGTCGCCCTGTGCCAGCCACTGTCCCACATGTTGGCAGCCTCTCCCATGCATGCTTCCAGAGGGCGGGGCTCAGCCCCCATCTGTCCTACTCATGGTGTTTGCGCTCTGGGCTTGTGATGATCGGCCTGTTGTCCACCACCACTACCCTCAGTTGGAGGGGGGAAGAAGGAGGAGGACGAGGAGGAGGAGGAGGAGGAGCAGGAGCGGGAGGAGGTGGATGAGGAGGACGAGGATGACCCCTCCCCCTCCAACTTATGGTGGTCGTGGTGGAAAACATGCCAATAATGTGAATCAACATGTGCAGGTCGCAGCCCACAAGCCGAGAGGGGGTGGCTGTCAGTTGGCGTCCACCCGCTGCCGTCTCGGGCGCGGGCGGCTGGCACACCGCACGGCGCTGTTGGATCTGGGTCGACAGGCCGGTGAGCGCATTCTGAGGGTGTGAGTGAGGGCCTCGGAAGCACCTTCTCCCGTCGTCGTCGTCGTCGTCGTCGTCTTCGTCGTCGTCGTCGCCGTCATTCTTCTTCTCCTCCTCTCTCGCAGTCGGGTTCCTGCCGCCTCCTCGAGGAGGGAGCGGAGAGCCACTCCCCGCAGAGTGCAGGCGGGCGCTGCGACGAGGCCGCGCCGGTGTGCTGCCACTGGAGGACGAAGGGCTGGTGCAGGCGGCCACATCGTCAAGGGGCTCCCCCCTCCTCGTCCTCCTCCTCCTCCTGATCCTCCCTCGTCATCCTCCTCCTCCTGATCCTCCTCCTCCTCCTCCTCCTCCTCCTTCTGATCCTCCTCCTCTCCTCCTCCTCCTCCTCCTCCTCCTCCTCCTCCTCCCTCCCCCTCCTCCTCCTCCCCCTCCTCTTCCTCCTCCTCCTCATCATCCTCCTCCTCCCTCCTCCTCCCTCCTCCCTCGCCTCCTCTCCCCTTCGCGGCCGCAGGCCTCGCCCGGCCCCCTCCCCCCTGGATCCGCCCCCCTGGATTCGGGGGGGAGAGTTCATAACGCCCCTCTTTCTCCAGGACGCGAGGAGGAGGAGGGAGGAGGGAGGGGAGGAGGAGGAGGGAGGAGGAGGAGGAGAGGAGGAGGAGGAGGAGGAGGAGGAGGAGGAGGAGGAGGAGGAGGAGGAGGGAGGAGGAGGAGGAGGGAGGAGGAGGAGGGGGAGGAGGAGGAGGAGGAGGAGAGGAGGAGGAGGAGGAGAGGAGGAGAGGGGAGGAGGGGGAGGAGGAGAGGGAGGAGGAGAGGAGGGAGGAGGAGGAGGGAGGAGACGAGGGAGGAGGGAGGTGGGAGGGAGGAGGGAGGAGGGAGGCGGAGGAGGATCCAGGCCTCGCCCGCCCCCCCTCTCGCGCCATCCGCCTCTCCGTGCCCCTGCCCCTGCTCTGCGCCCCCCCGCCCCCCCCGACCCCCTCCCGTCCTGCAGCGGGCCACAAGAGAGGCCCGCGGGAGCTCGGCCCGCCGCCCCTGTAGACTTTAGTTTTTAGGCGGGCCTGTCCCTCTACAGTGAGAAATGTTCCAAAAGAGTGAACAGATAATCTGGGGACGATTGTTGACTATTATTGAGCATGTTAGGAGTACGTTTTAACTATTTTAAATTTTTCGTCCTACATCCGCCTGTAGGGGGACATGCCCGACCTAACTCTAGTACCTTGGGCAGCTGTGTTCTTGAGCTCGGCCCTCTTTCTGTTCGTTCGTCGTCGTCGTTCGTTCGTTCGTCGTTAGTCCTACCCCCTCTCCCCCAGGCCACGGAAGGGGACTCCTGGAGGAAGGAGGCGAACGTTTCCTGTCTTTCGCAGCTCCTTGGTGCAAGAGCCAGGGCACGCGTGCCACTTGTTTTTTGTTCAAGGGTCTAGCGTCTAGCAATCACCCTGGTCACCTGGCCCCAGCACCCCCTCCCCTGCCCCCCTCGGATAGCCTGCCCCCAGGGGTGCGCAGTACTGGTGCGCGCGGGTCTACGCGGGGCTGCCCAAAGCGAAAAGGTCAGGGCATCGGCCGTCACCTCCCCCATCCCGCCCCCTACTCGATAACTCGGGCAATGGCCATGTCACGGGCCATGTCACGGGCCATGTCATGTCTTTTCGTTTGAAACGGGCCATGTCACGGCTCACCTCTCGCAGGCAGCCTCACCTCGTCCCGGGAGATACACCTCCAGATCGGGATTGTTTTGTTTCTCTCTCTCTCTCTCTCCCTCGCCTTCTTCTCTCGATCAGGTACCAGGACTTGTGCAAGTTCGCGCATCCTGAGAACAAGTGCGGCGCTGGGCTGTCTCCGCTGGCGGGGGCGGAGGGGCGAAGGACGTGAAGGATGAGGAGGATGCCGGATGCAGGGCGATTGGGGGGAGGCGAATGAGGAGGAGGTCGAGGAGGGTGGGGAGAGGAATGATGAATGATAAGACATGGCACAGGAGAGGGGATGGATCATTGGGGACGAACGAGGAGGAGAAAGAGGGGGAGGAACTTTGATAACACTAACGATGATGATGATACTGATGACGCTGATGATGGTGACGCTGATGATGATGACGACGCTGATGACGATGGTGATGACGATGCTGATTATGATGATGATGGTGCTGATGCTGATGATGCTGCTGATGATTATGATGGAATGATCATGGTGATGATGATGCTGCTGATGATGATGAAGCTGGCGCTGCTGATGATGATGACGATGACGATGGTGGTGGTGGCGGTGGTGGTGGTCTTGATGATGATGGTGATGATGGTGGTGGTGGTGGTCAAGGTGATGGTGATGATGATGATGATGATGGTGGTGGTGGTGGCGATGATGATGGTGGTGGTGGTGATGATGATGGTGGTGGTGGTGGCGGTGGTGTTGATGATGATGGTGATGATGGTGGTGGTAAAGGTGATGATGCTAATGATGCTGATGATGCTGATGATGATGAGAAGGCTGATGATGATGGTGGTGATGATGATGACGATGGTGATGATGTTGATGGTAGTGATGATGATGGTGATGGCAAAGGTGATATCGGTGATGATGATTATGATGATGGTGAATGTGATGATGATGAAGCTAAGTCTGCTGATCGTGATGACGATGATGAAGATGAGGATGAGGATGATGATGCTGATGCTGATGCTGATTATGATGATGCTGATGATGCTGATGATGATGCTGATTATGCTGATGATGCTGATACTGACGATGCTGCTGATGATGATGATGACGACGATGATGATGATGATGATGATGATGCGGATGATGCTGACGATGATGATGATGATGATGACGATGATGATGATGATGACGATGATTATGATGGTGATGATGATGATGATGATGATGATGATGATGATGATGATGATGATGATGATGATGATGATGGTGTTGGTTGTGGTGGTGGTAATGATGATGACGACGATGACGACGAAGAACAAGACGACGACGACGTCTCCTGAGGCAAAACCGCCTGGATCCAGGGGGCAGCGTAGCACGTATGCAGCCGCAGGTGGGCATGCAGAAACAGGTTGGCATGCAGCGGCGGAACGCTTATGAATAGTCGATAGCATGAGATCGCAGGTGGCTTGCCTTATCCTGTCGTTGTTCGTGTGGGGGGAATGCCCATGTGATGATGATGTTGTGCATGCCGCTGCGTTTTTGTTCAATGTGCGTGGTATGTCTGTGAGACCGGCATAATGACTGGGCGAGCGCGAGTGAGTGAGTGAGTAAATGAGTGAATGAGTGAGTGAGTGAGTGTGCGAGTGCGTCCACGTGTGTGTGTGTGTGTGCGTGTGTGTGTGCGTGAGAGAGCGAGTTTGTGTGTGTGTGTCTCGGACCGCCTCCTTACCCGTTTGCCTGTACGTCTCCCCGCCTTTTCTCGCCTGTTCGGGCTCTTTTTCAATAGTGTTACTGCGCCATGCTTGCCTACCCCCTGCGGGTCAGCCACTGCCCACCTGGCGCGCTCGAGCACCACCGTTCTGCATGCCCCCCTCGATTTATTCGCTTCCCCTTCCCTCGCAATTCCCTCCCCCCTTCGTCGGCCCCTTTAGTCCCCCCCTCTCCCGCGAGCCGCGCTGGCATCGGCAGCACTGGACAATCGCACGATTGTCGGTTTCTGGCTAATTCGGCTCGGTCTCTTCAGAGCGCCCCGCGAAGCGAACGTAGCACAAATCGAAGATCCCGCCTTCTTCCCTTTGAGTTGCGCCTGTTGTCTCCGTCAAACCTTGTTAGTTGTCTCGCGGTTCTGGTGCACGCTTGTGTTTCTGTGCTCCACACGTGCCAGATCCAGGATGCCGTGGTCTCACACACTTGGTCTCAGTCCATCGAGGTTCGGGCCGAACGAAAGGGGGGGATAGGGAAAGGGGGGTTACGAAACCTGCTGCATGCAGCTGGTTTCGGTCCCGCCGCCGGGCCCATTCCTCGATACATGGGCGCCTCCCGGCGCTGGGAGGCGCTGGGAAAATCAGCTACGTGAGCTGATTCTCTATCCTACCCTTTGCTTTCCCCCCCTTTCGTTCCCCCGAGAGGTGTCTCACTCCTTCATCAGTTCGTTCGTTGGGCTACTCGCACACGCTCGCTGGGTGGGTTCCCCCCCCCTGGGGCTGGTCCGGGAGGGCGCCTCGGCCTTGGCCGCGCGTCGCCACCCCGCCGGACGCCCCAAGCCGCGCCGGCCTTCGAAGGCGCGGCGCGTTCCGCCGCCGCTGCCAACGGGGCGACGACGCCGCCGCCGCCGCTGGTGACGACGGGCGCCTCTGTGGCCGACAGTCCGCAATTATCGTTTAAACGATCCCCATCCCCATCTCCCCCATCAAATTGCCACCCCAGTTGGGGATACACCCCTCGAAACCCGAAGAGAACGACCTGTATCCCCATCTAGGGGTGTACATCGGCCAGCGGGGCCCAGGCCACGCCGCTGGGGATGGGGCTCGGTTAAACGATACTCAGACAGGGACGCCGCTCCGAGGTCGGAGGCGTCCAAGATGGGCGAGGACCAGGGGAGGGTGGATCTCATGGCCTTGCCCTCGCTTTCACGGCCACCTCTTCTTCTTTCAAGGCGTTTCCTGGCCCCCCGTCTTGTCCGCGCACATTCCTCGTGCCATGACGCGACGAGGGCCTGGATCTTGCTTCTCTGGCGATGACGTGTCTCTGCGGGGTGGAGGAGCGGCCGGAGGGGGCCGACAAAGCGTCACGACGTGAGCCTGCGACCGTTTATGGGCGCCTCTAGCCTCTAGCCTCTAGACTTTCCCCAGCGGCGCCAGCGCGAGTCATTGCGTTACCAGGGGAGGGGGGGAGGGGGGCGGCCGTGGCACTGGGCGTGACCGCGACTAGCCTTAACCAACACATCGAGCTCCAGAGACGTCGCCACGAAGAAGCGTGGCCGTGGACCCAGACCTTCCAGAGTGCGAGAAAATAGAACTCCAGACCCATCTGGACTTTGAAACCTCGACGTGAATTTGGACGTCAAGGTCCTGGTGCTAGTTGTGCTGCTGTCCTGGAGGGTCAGGGGGAGCGGGTCCTCCAGAGGCTGGTCGTTCCTCTCGGTTTTCGGCGTAGGGGCTGGTGCCCCTTGGCCGTTTGGCATGCCGGGCTGTAGCTTTGAGACTGCTGAACAGGTGCTGTCAAGCAGCGGCGAAGCGGCCTGGCTCGCCTATAGGCCCACCAGAGAATGCTCTAAGAACCTGTCGTGGTCTGTACGAAATGTTCTCAGAACATTTCTGGCCGGGACTGTCTTGTTTGAACACATCGGGTTTCTGTTCTAAGAACACTGTTTTGGTTCATCGAGCACTTTTGGGTTCTGCGAACACGTCGTGGTAGGCCTATAGGAGTGCCTGGACAATCGGTCCCTGCTCAGTCCCCCGGGGCTACTGTCCGCGGGCACCGCGCTGCCCCCTGGCAGCGCGAGTGCTCTGGGGGAGCTGGCTGCCCAGGGGGCGTGGCGCACAGCAGGGCCCCGTGGAGCGCAAAGACGCTGTTCATGTTTTCCGGGAGGGGAGAAAAAACACCGACACAGTTCATCGTCGATCTCCAGGAAAATATGGGAAATTATGGGAAGTGGGGGGGGAAGACGAATAGCCAGAAGATATGGGAACATATGGGGTATACTGGGATTTGTGTGCATTTGTTTGTGTGTGTCTTGGGGACCCTTCAGTTTCCCGCGGCCACGCGCGGAGGGGGTAGGAGGATGGGGGAAGGCTTCTACCGGGGAAACGTAAGACTCGAGTAAGCCGGAACTCGGGTTTGCGGGCGTTTTTTGACGAGCGCGTCCCGGACTTTGATGCTTCGATTTTCGTGGCATGTCTGCAGTGGGAGCTCGCATCAAATTCCAGACTGGGTCTCGTCATTTTCATTGATGGCACCGTCAGGCCAACCCGAGACCCCCGAACCCGAGTCTTACTTCTTCCCGATTCTAAGAAGCACCCTTGCTTCTTAGAAGGCGCGGGCCTTGTCTGCAGATGTAGGGCCGGCGCCTTCTAAGAAGCAGCCTCCTATGAAGCTTTCCCCCCTCCCTCCACCCCCTGGTGCGCGCCGCCGATTTCCGATGGTGGTGGGTGTGGACGGCGCCTGCTACCCTTCGGCGCGTTTACTTCCTCGTCGTCGGCTTGTACATGTAAAGAGAGAATATTCAAAAACGGATCAACCAAATAGTCTGGGGACGATCTGTTGAAGTATATTCGGCTATTTCGACGATTTGTTTTTATCTATTGTTGATTTGTATTCCGAAATCCGCCTGTAGGGGGACAGGCCCGACTCAAGCGGCGGAGCTGATGTATGTCCCGCGGTTGACACTGGGTCCGACTGACGTGGGCGCGGCTGGCTGAAGTGTTAGTGTCTCCCAGCAGCAGGATAGTCGTGCTCCGCCCAGCGCTTGTTTTGGTGGTGACTTGGTTTGTTGTTCAGGGACTCGGTCGATGCCGCAAGGGCAGCGCGATGCTGCTCGTGGCCGACGCTGGCGAACAACTGTGCAGCATGATTTCCCCCTTCGCATGCGCTGCGGGAGAATTGCTGGTTCGTTGGGGCTGGTGCCCCTATCCCTGGGCCACTTGAAATCACCCCTCCAGACAGGGTTTAGACGTGCGCGAGAACTCTCATGGGGTCGAAACACCAGATGACGTCGAAGTGGAATTGGCGGGCGCTGGCGCGTGGCGTGCTAGGCGGGCGTCGCTGAGCCAAATGATGTGGGCGCCGCGCGCAAGCAAAGTATTCCCAGCACAAGCAAGCTAAACTTGCGGTCAACCTCTGGACAGCGGCGGCGCATAGAAGCTAGAAGCATTAAGCGTAAAGCGTAACTCAGGCTATTGCTAACCCGCGAGCCTTGCCCCTGCAGGGGCCAGTGACGATGTAAGTCCTTCTACATGTGTAACCTCGGCGGGGTGAGGGGAGCCCGTCGAGGCCCTTTAAATGCGGTCCCCGCGGTGGTGCTGGCATGGAGCGCACCATGGCCACCTACTCGGTTGCCCATTCACTTCCTCCTCTCTTGGTTTCAGGGTGGGTCGCTGGGGCTGGCCTCGCTGGCGAGTCCAGGAGGGAGCGGCGCGGGGTTTGGCGGGCTCTGAGTGGCTTCTGCCGTCTGGGCTTGGGCCAGTGAGACGAGAGGCGCCATTTGATTCGTGGGGTTCCTCAGGCCTGTGTTCAGGCTGATCTGCTCCGATTGGACCGCGTGGATCCCTTGTTTCGGTGGCGTTGCTGCGCAATGGTGGCCTGGCCGGAGGCCGCGCTGGTGACCATTGTTTCGAGGCGTTTGACAGTGTCCGAGAGCTGCTGGTGCTAAGTCGGGCATGTCCCTCTACAGGAGGAATCTTCAAAATAGTCAAACAATAGTCTGGGGAACATTTTTCGGTAATTGCGAAGGCCTGACGGCCGGTGCAGCCGACCCTGACGAGGACCACGACGTCGGCGACGGGCGGAGACGGAGGCCATGGAAGATGATGATGATGATGATGATGATGATGATGATGATGATGATGATGATGATGATGATGATGATGATGATGATGATGATGATGATGATGATGATGATGATGATGATGATGATGATGATGATGATGATGATGATGATGATGATGATGATGATGATGATGATGATGATGATGATGATGATGATGATGATGATGATGATGATGATGATGATGATGATGATGATGATGATGATGATGATGACGATGATGATGATGATGATGATGATGATGATGATGATGATGATGATGATGATGATGATGATGATGATGATGATGATGATGATGATGATGATGATGATGATGATGATGAAGGAGGGGAGGAGAGGAGGAGGAGGAGGAGGAGGAGGAGGAGGAGGAGAGGAGGAAGGAGGAGGGAGGAGGAGGGAGGAGGAGGCGGAGGAGGAGAGGAGAGGAGGAGGAGGAGGAGGGAGAGGAGGAGGAGGAGGAGAGGAGGAGGAGGAGGAGGAGGAGGAGGAGGGAGGAGGAGTAGGGAGGAGGAGGCAGGAGGAGCGTGGATGTGGAGGTTGGAGCAGGAGGGGGAGGAGGAGGGGGAGGAGGGGGGAGAAGGAGGAGGAGGGGGAAGAGGATGAGAAGGAGGTGGAGGAGTTGGAGGAGGAGGAGGAGGGGAGGAGGAGTAGGACAGGGGGGTGGCGGGAGAAGGAGGAGTTGGAGGAGGAGGAGCCGGAGGAGGAGGAGGAGCAGCAGCAGCAGCAGCAGCAGCAGCAGCAGCAGCAGGAGGGTGGCCGAAGAGAGGGCTCCGGCGGCGCCAGAAAGCCTCGATCCTCGAGCCTGGGGTTAGCAGAGTGAGCAGGAGGAGGAGGAGGAAGAGGAGGAGGAGGAGGAAGAGGAGGAGGAGAAGGAGGAGGAGTAGGAGGAGGAGAGGGAGGGGAAGTTGTTCTACCTGTTCAGTCTTTCGTCATTTTCGGCCTCCAGGGGCCATTTTTGGAACCGGGAAGCCGCGCAGGGTTCCGGAACCGCGCGGGGACCGCACCGGACGTGCGGGGAGTGAAAGCGTATGGCGACCCCCCCCGGGACCCCCCTTGGGACCCTCCCAGGACCCCCTTGGGACCCCCCCGGGACCCCCCGCTTTGTCTTGCAGAGACTCCCACTCCTCCTGGGCGTGATTCCGGCTCGGGTTTCTCCGTCGCGATGGTCTTTGGTGAGGCGATCGTAGCGGGTGGTCTTTCCGGGGAGTCCACTTCAGCAGTGACGTACGCCTCCGTCTTGGCGATGGTCCATGGGATGGCGGGCCCGTGGGCGTGGGCCGTCGCGTTCGAGTGGGGGCTGGCCGCCATGGCAATGTCGAAATCATCCCTGGCCGCCCTGTCCAGGCCGGTGTGTTGGACTTCGCAGTGCCGCGGCAAGATGCGAAGACCACTGCGTTTTGCGTCATGGTGGCGCTCTGTGGTTTCGATGCCCGCGATTCGGCACTTTGCGTTGGCGATGGCAGCGTCGGCCCCATTGGAGTTTCAGGGCGACTTGTTTCGCTGTCTGGGTGTGTGCGTTGACCCTGATACCCACCCTTTCGTCCTCGCGGGCAGCGCCAACATCTCTATGTTTGGTGGCAGTCTTGCACACTATCCTGCGCATGGTCTGGCGACCATCTGGGCTCCGCGCAGTGGTATAGTTGCTAGGCAGGGGCCCTTTGGAACCGCGGTAGCTGGGGTCGAACTGGATGCATCCTTGCCTGGAGGCGGAGAGAATCAGAGGGACGTCCGCTGACTTAATCCCGAAGGTGGTCGAAGTCCTGCATTTGCCTGCCGCTGCGCCATGGCGTCCAAAGAGCTCCATGGCTTCTTGCTTTAAAACTGCGCGGAAGTGCGACGTGCATGCGACCATGAACGAGTCGGCGAGGTCGTCGTCAAGCTGGTTGCGTGGGGTGTCATACTATTCGGCGTCGTTTTAACTTATTACTGAGCCGTGCCTGGCCCACCTGGGTAGCGGCTGCAGCTCCTGAGCATTGTGTCTCGAACAGTTTCTCGAGCGCAGGCGTGATCGCGATGGCGTCAGACTCGCAAATGGCCTCGCGGATCCAGGCGATGTCCCCCGCTGGGTCGAGAGTAACATGGGCTGCGTTATGGAGGCACTCGACCGCCTCCCGTCCGAACTGGTAGATGGTCCTTTGGATGTGTCCCGGCGGAGGCTTGGTAGCCTTGGCCTTGCGACGGGGCGCTTGGATCAGGTTCTCTTTGCCGCCTGGGTAGTCCGTATGAATGGGCCCCAGTACTGCGAGTGCCGGAAGTTTGTCCTGAATTCAGATCTGCAGTAGTAAGCGATCGCGTTCCTCTAGCGTGCGAAGCGAGACGCTACTGGTGCACGACGTTTCGTCACCCCCCCTTTTTGGGCGCGGTGGTAACGGGGCGCCCCAGTTATGGATCCAGGCTGATGAGAGGGGCCTTGTTTTTGCCCTGGTGAGCATCGGCGTCGACCGTGGTCCCTACTGGTGATGGGTCACGGTCTACGACATTTTGCGCGTGTGGGAGACATGCAGCATTTTGTAGTTGATTTTGTTTTCCCGCAAATTCCCATTAGCTCGCCCATGAGTTTGCGTGGGTCGGAGTGGTGTTGGTGGTAAATGGTATCGAAATCAGTTCAGCGCTTGTGAGCGAGTCCGTTGTATGCAACGACTGCTGGGTCGGCACCACCACTGCTCTGAAGTTGCGGCGACGCAGGGTCCCTTCCGATTGAGGTTGGTATATGGTCGATATGTTCAGGTAGCTTTTTGGGGGTCTTTGCCAGGTGGTTTGGGCAGCTGTGGCGCAGGAGGCGCGCGGCGAGGACCTCTCGGAACCATGGCGCGCGCGCGGATACTGGAGGTGGATGACACGAATCAGTCACAAGGCGGGATGCGTGTGTACAGTCTCGCGATGCCAACAACTGTATTGTTGTGCGTCTCGGGTAGTCGCTGCGCGGTGTGTCGGAGACCCTCGTTCTCTGGCTGCAGAGGGCGGCGAGAGAGCATTTTTCTTATTTTCTGACAACAGTTCCTAAGCCCGACGGGGGGGCGCTTTCCCGCGTGGAGATCAGCGGATGTACAGCATCCTTTGTTGCGCACCCCTCGTTCGCTTCCCGAGCAGCACATTATGCAAGGGCTCTTCCGACCCACCGAAGCCGCCCGACGTACACCGAACATTTTTTCACAATCAAAGCCGAGAAATTGCATTACTTTTACACAGCATTCACACTACTTCTACGCAGTCCGTACACTACCTTTACACTACATTAACATTCCAGCTATATGACATGTACATTACATTGACCCCAGGTCGCATGTCGCGCACGCTGGGGCCTCCCGGCGATTCCTGCCACGCCCCCGAGAATACGGCGGACCCGCCTGGGATTACTACTGTAAGGGATCAGTGCAGTCTGGGGTGGCCCACTGGCATTGGAGGTCGATCCTGGGAAGACACCAGACGACTCGAGTGCAACAGTGGCAAACGTTTGGGCTATCTTTACACCACATTTACACGACACGTGCCACCTTTACACCACATGTACACCTACATTTACATTACATGTATACTACATGTACACTACACTTACACCGCATGTACCACGCGATGCATCCAATCACAACTTCCTCCTGCGCCCTCTCCTGGACTGCAGGTGGCTCTTTGCTTACTCTCGGGCCGTGCGTCGGGTGGTTCGCGAGACAACCCGCCCTCGAAAATCAAGGACACGTTTAGGGTTAGGTCTGTCATGCCCCGTTTCAGGCGGAGTTATTGCGAAAAGTTAATACCCCCCGAACGAACAAAACAAGAATGTTCAAACATACTCAAAAATCGTCCCCAGAGTATTTTTTACTGTTTTTGACGATTCCCCCTGTAGATGGACACGCCCGACTTAAGTTTAGGATTTCTGCGCAGGCAAATGAAGTTGCTTCTCGGGGTTAGGCAGCCTTCGCGTGCTTGCTTTCAGACTTCAGAACAGGCCCAATTGATAACCACTGGCTGCCCTCAGCAGCCTAAACAGCCCCTGAGCCGACACAGGAGAGAGACAGATAGAGAGAGAGGTATCGACACAAACAAGGAGGCAGATAGAGGGAGGAAGTGAGAGAAAGAGAGAAGCAACAAACAAAGCGAAACAGGGGGGCCTAAGGTGGAAGGAAAGAGGAGGAACCGATGCGACGCTGAGGAGGGGACGGGGGAGGGAATAGTGGCGAGTGGGAGCAGGCGAGACGATGGATGGGGGGGGATGAGCGGATGCTGGCAGCTCGAGTGGGAAAATCCCAGGGATCGCTTGCTCACACGTGCTGCCTGGTGTTATCGGTCGCCTTGCCCCTCCCCAGCGTCATTCTCGCCTGTGATCACAGTTTGCTCTCACGTACTGCCTGCCTCGCCGCGGCAGAACCCCGTGCCATGATCCTGTTGCCTCACTTCCTGGGCACGCTTTCCATCCAGCTCTCCCGAGCCGTCCTGCGCCGAAGGCCTAGCCGCCTCCAAGCGCCGGTGGAGCGCAGCGTCCGCCAAAATTCACATGCGGCTTGGTCAGATGAGCCGAGCTCCGCGCATGCTCCCGTCCCCTCCGTATTCTTGTCCATCTGTGGCGCCCTCCTTCCCTCCTGCCTGCTCTCTCCGCCGCCACGTCCTCTGCCGCCTCTTCCTCTTCTCTTCCCAGTACCCCGTTCCTCGCTCCTTCGCCGTGCCTTAGGATATTCTGGAAGTTTCGTCCCCAGGCCGTGCGCGGCCTGTGGTAGGTCCTTCCCCGCTACGACGTCGGAGGTTGGGCCGCGCGCGAGCGGCTTGGAGCTGTTGCCGAGCATGAGTCTCTGCACGCACTTGCAGCGTGCGGGCACATTAGGCCATCGGCGCTCCACCTTCGACATTCGGGGGCGCCAAAACAGGCGCCTGGCCCGCATCCCCCGCTTGAAAGATGGGATGCCTCGGATACGGGGGCCGGGGGGGGGAGATGACGTCTTTGAGTTTCTCCAAGGGGAATGAGCTCAGAAGAAGCTCGGAGGGCAGTGGAGGGAGCTTGGAGGGCAGCGGAGGGAGCTCGGAGGGCAGGGGAGGACGATGGGTTGAGAAACGCAAGTGGAGGAGGAGGCGGAGGAGGGGGAGGAGGAGGCGGCGGAGGAGGAGTGGGGGGAGGAGGATGAGCATGGATAAGGAGGACGGGGAGGGGAAAGACATAGGGGGCGGAAAGGGAAGAGAGAGAGGAGGAGGACGAGGACAAGGACGAGGATGAGGAGGACCAGTGTAACGCCAAGACCCGTCCACGATATTGCAATAAACCCTCCCCCTCCAAGTTCCCTCTCCATATGCCCGTACAAGGGTTCATTGTCATTCAGGGAAGCGCCCCGTTGGAAGACAACCGTTTGAAAATCCTGAACTGTGCCAGAACACCATTCCTGGACTGCATCGCCGCGAATCACCGTTACTGTTGCGTCTTGACAATCCTGAAGCGTGCCAGAACACCATTTCTGGGATGTCCGCACTACGAATCAAAGTAATTGTTGCGCCCTGACAGTCCGACATCGTACAAAAACACACATTTGGGGATACTAGCCATGAGAATCCTTCAAAAGTGTGTGGCGCAAAGGAAAGGAACCGCCCTCGATCCGTGAATTTCTTGCAACTGTTTAAAGACGAATGTGCGCGGCGCAAAGGCGAGAGCCACATTTTGAAGACGGCCTGCCCTCCATCCGTGAAGTTGCTGCGAACTGTTAAGACGAATGCGCGCGGCGCTAAGGGGAGAACCTCATTTTGAAAACCACCCGCACTATCCGTGAGACTGTTGCAAGTTTCAAGCTTCACGATCATACATGGAGAGGAAGTCTTTGGCGAAACCCCCGGCCCGTCCTTTCGACCAGCCTCGGGGTGCGACAAAGAAGACTTATTCACAGGGAAAGGAATTGAGGTAAGGTAAGGTCAGGTCAGGTAGTCCTCGAAGGCTTCACAGTGAGAGGACGCCCGGGGGGTTGAAGCACCATAGCTTCAGCCCGTTGCCTCGAATATAGGGCGCCAGCAGTTCATAACTTCGAGACAGGAGGCACAGGGCCCACGACCAAAGAGGGCCTGAACCACGTAAAAGCAGCAACTGTGAGGGTTCAGAGCACATCAGGCCCCCCACCGCCAGCCCCTCTCCTCCCATCCTCGGCCTACAGACCTTAGCAGAACAGGTAGGCGTAGCAGACGCGTTGCCTCGACAATGCGGGGTGCGGTGCGGCGGTGGAGGGGTTGGAGAAGGACCACCAACCACAACCATTACCATCAAGCAGGGGGACAGGGAGACAGACTGGCGCAAGCAAACAGCACTTTCAGCTCGAGCATTCACCCTCTTCAGTTGATCCCGGCCTCCCTCATCATTGTATATTGGCGACAGCCAGGGCAAGCCATCTGCGCAGGTCAGTCTGCACAGGTTCTGTGGGCTTGGGTACGGATCGATCCGCAGGAGGAAAAAGCTTTTGATATGGACAGGGGCACTCTTGCGTTCTCTGGATATTTCTCTACGTCGTCTAAGGGCTTCGGCCCTGTTAGCTGCCATGCGCTCGAGGATGTCGGGGGGGGGTGGAGGGGAGGAGGAGGCGGCGAGGCAGAAGGGGTGGGGGGAGGAAACTTAGACACACTGTCGTTTGCCTCAAAAAGGGAGACAGCAGTTGAGTGAGTGCCCTCAGCTCTCTTTTCTCATCAGAAGCCTCGGCCACACCAGTTTTGTTGATGGCGGAGGCCCTCGGGACCATCGGAGAAAGCAACGCCTGGGTAAAAGTCAGGTCCCGTCGCTGGCCCTCGTCCGATGCAGGCTGAATCGGCAAAGAACTTCTTGAGCTGAGGAATCTCAGTCCTGTCCTCACCAGGATCGCCGGGGAGTGTCGGAGCTTGTCCCAGCAAGGGCGGCAACAAAGCAGAGAGGAGGAGGCGGATGGGCAGTGGCGAGGGACAAAGAGGACGGGATGGAGAGGAGCGACATGAGGACGAGGAGCGGGGGCCGTCCTTGCCGTGCCAGGCTGGTTCCGTGGAGTTGGCATCATCGGGCCCGGGAGGCCACCCCTGCTCGGGAGCCGAGATGGGAAGCGGACGATCCGCCCAGCATCCCAGCGATTAATTATCCCAGGTCCCCCCCCCTCCAGGGAGCGCGAAGATGATCGCGCATCGCGCATCGCGGCTTGAGTTGGAGAGGCGCCCTTCTCCAAGGTGGCCTCGCGAGGGCGCCGAGGTAGCAGCGGGTCGCGCGTCGAAGGGCGCGATTCGCGAAAGTATGTCACCTGGCTACCCGACGCTTCCACACGGCTGGTAGCTCCGAAGGGCGTCTCTTCGGCACAGCGCGGTTGGCAAGACATCTGGCGACAAGCGCCTCTTTGTCGCACCCCCTCGACGTGTGTACAGTGCGCCCAGCAATCCCCAGCGCGTTTTTTTTTTGCTTGCTGCGCGGCAGGGCCTGCTTCTTGTTGCAGGGACCAGTCGGTTTGCCAGGACTCCGTAGCTCGGTCGCCTTGGCCTGGCTGAGTGCATACCAGAGGCTCGGACAAAGGGCCTTATCTGCTTCCATTCCCCTCTCACTTGTCCGTCTCTCTCTCTCTCTATCCCTATCCATCTCTCTCTCTCTCTTCATGTGTTATGTTCTCTTCTCTCCCTTTCTCTTTCTCTCTCTCTCTCTCTCTCTCCTCTCTCTCTCTCTCTTCCTCGCTGTCTCTCTCTTTCTCTTTCTCTTCTCCCGCCGCTCACCTTCGCTCCTCTCTTTGTACCCATCTCTCTCTCTCTCTCTCTCTTCGTTTCTCTCTCCCTCTCCATCTGTCTCTCTCTCTCTATCTCTCTCTCTCCCTCTCTCCCTTTTCCGTTTCTTTAGTTTTTTGTGTGTTCTCTCTCTCTCTCTTTCTGTCTGGCTCAACGTGCAAATTCGCAAGTGCAAACCCGCATACATAACCACCTGGTAATGCGCAAACTTACTCCGAGTGCTTTCGCCAGCATGCTGGAGAAACATGTGGTCTCTTCTCCTGAGCCGCTGAGCTCAGCGCTCAAAGAGAAACTGGCCCGCACTGGCAGCCCGCCGCTCAAGGTGGACAAACAAAAGGCAGAAGCTCGGGTCGGGCACTGTTCGAGCAGCGGCTCAATGACGCAGGCAAAAGCAACACCGCGGGCACCAGCGTAGTTCCTGGAGCAGCTTTCACGACCAGTTGGAAACTAATCCGAAACGACCATCGCGGCCATCAACACACATGGAATCTCGCGAGTCGACTTCGACACCGCAGTGAACCAAATACTCTTTCGACGATTTTGCCAATCGTGTATCGTCGTTGGACACAGCGTCCCGGCCGTCGTTTGCAAAATCTGCAGTGTCATCGGACTCTGCGACCAGAGCCACAACAATGCAGCTAGAGATGGATACCGAACCGACGAAAAAGCAGCTAGTTACTCCAGCGCGTCCGAGAACACCTGCGACCCACAGCACCAACAACAGCATAGACAACACTGGCATCATCGCCGCCGTAGGCAACATCGGCCTGTTCGACACTTTGAGTGCCGCAAACACTTAGATAAAACATGAACTACAACGTCTTCGAACACTGGCGCCATCCAACATCCACGTATACATGGAGTTTGTGAGCATAGACGACAGGAGCTTTGTTGTTGCCCAGCTACGAAACGCCAAGCTCATCAGGAACGGACAACAGGTTTGGGCTACAATCAGCCGTGAACCACTGGTTTGACCTGCGCTCAACTAGTTCTTTGGCGTCAACTACCTGCTGAAGAACACCATGGGCCTCACGTGCGCCATCCAGGTTGACGACGGAACAGCCGTACATGGTCAAAGTGGCCGGGGACTTGGCCCTCAGCGTGATTATCGACCAGGGCGCGGTCATACGTGAGTAAAGTGCGGGCGCATGCGTGGAATGGGGCGGAACGTCGCAGGAACGACGAGTTGATAGAGTTGACAAAGACGTGCGACGGGATTGCCCAGCGTGCATCCATAACCTGAAAGGAAACGCGAAAGGACAGTCCAATGGTTTCGCCTTGGACGAACGGCGGACATGAGCAATCGCAGACAGTGCCCGAGTCGCACCGACGACAGTATCGCATTCTTGGTCTCTGGGCGCGTTTATCGCGGGCAAAGCTACCGACGTGACCACAATGACAGCATCTGCACACCCGATTATTGCTCAGGTCTTCGTCCGACCAAAATCTCCTCTACCTCAGAATACGCGCGTCGATTCCTCCGCGCCCGCTCCCGACCTCCATTTTCCGACTCCCGACCTTCACCTCCCAGCATCGATTTCCACCTCCAGCTTCAACCGCCCGGCGGCCATCCTGAGGCCACGGACGCGGACGCGGGCAAAGGTGCCGTTGCCGCAAGTTGTCCAAGTCCCAAATCTAGGGCCGATTCCGGAAACGAGACCACCTGCTTGCACGAGCTGTTCTTCTACTTGCGGTGGCACGGAGCCTTTGCAGGGACGCGCGGATCGCGCCGTCGTCATCCCCCCCTGGCTTCTCCGAC